TTTAAAATTTTATTAAAAAAATTTATATTTTAAAAAATTTTGCAGGCAAATTTGGCTACAAAACAATTTAAGGGATACAGGTAATCTAGTAGTACTTTCTAATTTGCAAGAGCTCATTACTATGTTCACTTTATTTTGAAAAAAATATTCAATTTATTCTTTCTTTTCTGGTGCTAATTTTTCTAAAGTAATCTTAGGTTTTTCAAGTTGGATACCTCCCTGAACATTAATATACTCTATTTGCATGCTTCAGTAATTAGATAGTTTGAGACCTAAGATAAGTATTTTGTTAGTTCAAAGGTTTTTTAAAAATATTTTAATATTGCTTAGATATTAACTGATAACTTTTTTTGATTATTTTATAGAGAATTTTATCTGCAATAATTAACAATATTCTTCTCTTTCCATCTATTTCACGAATGTTAACATCTAAAGCATCCTGAAATGCACTCCAAAATTGTTCTGCGACCTTTTCGTGAGTTTTTGAAGTAGTACTAAGGTATCAGCTTTTGTACAACTGCTTTAACATTGCTTGGTTACTTGCTAGGTCTTTTGATCGAGTCCAAAATTCAAACTACAAGTAACTGTGAAGTTAGAATTATATATATATTTGTATATTAGATCAATATTTATATCATCTTAAAAAATTATCCTTGTCTTTACTTTTTTTTTTTTTTTTTTACCTCCATAGTAAAATACTATGAGGGTGATGTTGTCGCATTTTACTCATTTCTACTTTAAATTATGATCTGATACAAACTTTTTTTTTTTTTTTTTTGAACCTCAGCAGGACTTCATATGGTGTATTAAATTTGACACATATTTTAATCTGATGCACAGTATATATTTGTTTATTATTTATTTATTTTAAAAGATTTACCACAGATTCTTTTCTGAAAGGTGTTATGTTGATATAGCCTGTATGTTGTAATAAGGCTCTCCAGACACGCAATTCACGACCTTTAATTATATAGTTTGGTGGGTATATTTCTTGTAATTTTGTTGTTAATTCAATAAGATTATTTTCTTGATTCTGCTAGCTAATAAAAAAATTTTTCCAAATTATAGATATATTAATATGTCTTCTCAGATAATAATTAAAAAGCGTATCCATTATTTGTTCATTTTGCCAATCATCGATGGTATACAAAAGAGTTAGTTCTTTGCTGATTTCTGACTTTGTTCGTTCATGTTTAAGTCCAAATAGCATGCTTCCTGTAAATTGTACTAATATACCAATTTTACTCCAAACAGAATTAGGGTTAGTATCACAAAAAATTTGAATTTCTTGAAAATTTTGATAAATTCTAACAATCACATTATTATTATTAAATTCTTGAAAAAATATCATTCAAGTTTTGTGAAAGTTATGCACAAAAGAGCTTCAGTATCCTTTTCCAGCATAATTCCAATTAGAGTTGTTCAATTTACCAATTTCAAAAATAATCATGTTTAAGTTTCCAATTTTAAAAGTATAAAGATGAAAATAAATATTGGAAAGTAATATTTTACATATCTCTGAATCATCATAACCCATAACTAAGAGACCATCTAATCTAGTTTTTGTAGAAAAAGCTTGTTGATATATAGAAGTAATTGCTTCTGAGGAACTTTGATATATATTACTTTGCAAAGCTTCTGATTGACATATATACCCAGGTTCAAAATTATTCTGAACAACTGTAATTATGATGTCATGCTTGTTTACTGTAGTTATAGTTTTTATCTTAAGATGAATTAGATAGAGAAGTGTATATGTTAAGTCATTATTAGTTGGATGTGAAATCTACCAATCTTTAGCATATGGCCCAAAATGTAAATTTTGTATTAATTTGCCTTGTAATATAATCGTAACTTTGTATTTTAACATGTTAGTATATTTACTAATGTAAGATTGAGTTTTATGTACTAAAGGCTTTGTTAGTGTACTGTGTAAATTACTTTTATATTGACACATTTTTTTAAAATTACAAAACAAATTGTTATACTTGGTAAATTTTATTTATAATCGCTAACAGATTGTTGAATTTAGAGCATTTAAGCTCAAAAGTTATTTTATTTTGATCAATATTTATAAAAGATTGAAGTTCTACAGTATGCTATTCTGAATAATGCTTATCAAAACTTTTAACTTAAAATAAGCAGAAACAGGAATTTTAGTAAAAGCTATTGATATATCTTGAAATATCTAAACTTATCACTTTTTTCAAATCAAACAACTGAATTCTGTAGATTTTACTATACAAGCCCCATGTATTACTACTATAAAACAATTGAAATTTATAGATTCGATTGTTTTGTTAATTTGAAAAGTGCAATAAATAAGATTAAAAATTTTCATTTTTAGCAAAAGAGGTGCCCATGGTCTTAAAGCCTATAATATGCGCATAAAAATTAAACTAAATTTGGTATTTCAAGCCAAATACCAAACACTTTAATTCATGTTCATATCGAATTTTAAGAGTTGGGTATCTGGTTTGATATACCAAACTTAGATTTTATTTATGTGCAAGTAATTTTAAGAGTTGGGTATCTGGTTTGATATACCAAACTTAGAATTTTATTACAATCATTTATATGCAAGTAATTTATTTTAAAATAACTCTCATGAAAGCGATGATACTCAGTGTGTGGTGATAGATAAAATGCAAATTGTACATATTGATACTTTGAGTGTCCAGACTCATGCAAATTAAAACACAAAATAAAAATTTTGATTGTAATTGCAATTAAAATTAGGGATAGCGATAACAATAACGAGCAATTGTTACTATACACACCATAGTGTTTAGTTAAATTTAGATCAAAAAAGTTTTATATTATGTGCATTGGCCTTTATTATGTTAATATTAAGCAATATTTATCAAGCTATTATTTTTAAATGCGAAATTTTGCTTATTATTCAATAAAACATTACATTATATAAGAAAGAAGGTATTTACATCATTAATAATAAAAAATAAAAATTATTATTATTTCAAAAGATTTAACACAAATATTGCACTATTTTATGATGATATATGGTATATACATATAGTATACATAAAATACTTTCTTATGTACATATCTAAGTCAGTGTATAACCTTTTAAATTGTTATGCGACTAATTTTATATCTCAACAAAGTTCTATTTCGAACTATAATTCATACAAATACTAGTCAGGTTTTTCATTTATTAAGGATTTTAAGATATTTATATCATTAGCGTTTAGTGAATGGTTTTCTTGAAAGTGATAGATTTTCAATATCTTTGAAGGTGCCTGAGAACCTGATTCATAAAAGACTTGCTAACATCTAAGTTTTTGGAAATTTTTTTGAACTGATAAGCCTTCTAAATTTTTTGTAACTATTTGCTACCGAAGTTGCTTTAAAAGTATCATAATTCTGTATCAATATGTAGTCATATAATACTGTATATGTAATATTAAATTAGTTGCCTAATTTTAATATATTTATCTGACACATATACTTATCAATTTATCTAGTGAATCTATATTTCCAAAATCACAAACTTAACTGAATTGGCCAAAATATCGGTCAGACAATTTTTACAGGTGTCTTAGGAATTATGATAATAGCTATAAGTTACGACATGCTGTAACTTGCATACATGGCTGAATTAATTTTTCAAGTTATAACTTTTTTATATATTTACAGTTATATTATTTATCAACCTAAACTTTAGGAAGGCCACCCTGGTGGTATTTGTTGTATTTAATACATTAGATAGTACTAAGTATTTAATTAGAATCAATGTTTTTTTCTTAGCATTATTTATTTAAAAGCTAGATATCTTTAATGTATAAGTATATTTTTTTAAAAAAATAATGTGAACATATAAAAATAATTTTTTTTATATTGGGAACGCGTAGATTCGAAAATTAAGTAAAATTGTATATGTAGATTATCCCCAACTTTTATTATTGTAGATCACTGGTTTCCACGCGGATCACGAATTAATTATAAATAATTATTAATTATTAATTATAATTAAAATAATATAAAAAATAACAATAATATTAAGTTTATTGTTTGATAATGTTAAAGCCCAGTGTTACGCACCGGGTTAAAGACTAGTCTGGTATTGTAAAATTATTTTTTTATATGTTGCACACCGTGTGAAAAATCAGTCGTATAACATCAATGTTCTTACCTGTAGCTATTTACACGAATCGACTTTTTGATATTCAAAAATTTCCCGAGCCAGTAAATTCGATATACTTTACCATTTTAAATATTGATTAATTTTAGAAGTTGTCTTGACACTACTTATAGAGACAAATGATGTTTGCCACGCCGCCTAAATTAAATAGTAAATTGATTGTTGACCTCTAAATATCGTCATCAATTACTTCATAATTTAAATATTGTTGCATTAAATTCAGTATTTTTTTCCTTATATTTACGCATTAATTATATATTTTATAAAATACTTCTTAAATACTGTTCATCACAAACTTCGAAGATCCATATATTTACGTAGCATTACATAAATTATGTAATTGTTTAATATAAATTTATGTAAGCGTAAAGTCACAACAATTTATATAAATTTATGCTTCTTTTTGTATAGTATTACTGAAGGTCCGTAGAATTCATAAGATATTATGTTTAGTCACATAAATTATGAAGATTCATGTAGCATTATACCTAGTAATCCTATAAAAAAGTTCGTGATGTTCGTTTAGAGTGAAATAGTGATGGCGCAAAAATTTGACAGTCCTGTGACTAATTCAATAACAATGATATCCTAAATATTCGTCTAAAAAGGATTTTTGCATTAATACAAAGTAGAAAGAATTATCTAAAATTTTGTGCTGATAACTTTTACAAAATAACAAAGACGAATTCCCCTTGCAGATTTATGAGTTTTTGCGATTTCTGGTTTTTTTTTCGGTTTTATTTTTTTTACTTCGCATTTGTATGTTATATACTAATCTTACAATCGGATTGAATAAAAATCACGGGACCGCCAAATTTTTGCGGCATCGCTATTTCACTCTTAGTTTAGCGTTAGATATATTCTTCGTAATAAGTAGTTCCACAGAACAGTATAATGTAGGTCGATTTTTCAAATCTATACTATACGGATCAGGTATTACGTATACGTAAATATGAACGTTAGTTTTTATAATTTTGCAGATCCGTATATCGATATCATAGTATAATTTTGAAAAATTAGCCTATACTATACTGATCCATAATTGGCTAATAACGGGATCGTCACATTGAAAATTGTACAGTACGTTGTTACGCCCCGATTTGGGAGAGCGATAAATGGGCTTGTGCAGATTAGTCTCGAGTAGGGCTGTTAATAGAGTATTATAATCCAGAGTAATTTAGGAGTATAACCACTCCATGCCGGTGTGGTTTGTATGCTACATACATCGCTACAGATTGCTATAGGAATCAAATAGATTGGTTTATGCTCCAGAGCTACTAACACTACTCCAGATTAAAAATATAAATCAATTGTTGTATATTAAAAATAAAGACATTCAACCTTATAGTAAATAAAGTTGTTCTAAATACCAAATTCTAAACTATAATTAGCAAGACGTTTTAAAATATACTATAAAATTAATCCGGAATAACATATTCCGGGTGAAATTATAGAGTTTAATCTGGAATAATATCTTTGGTGTGGTTTGGTTTTGATAGTTACTCTGGCAGAGTATATGCCGCAACACTCTGGATCACTCCGTTAACTGCCCTAGTCTCGAGCGTAACATAAGTCATGCAGAATGTGTATTTTATTAAGGGATTCGAAATTAATGATAGCTGAACTTTAAGGAAAGTTTAGTTATTATATTTATCGGCTATTCCTTTAACCCGCAACTCTAACTTCTATCTTAGCTCTGTTATTTCATTTTCTTCTATCACCTTCCTTCCACTTTATTAAATATTTGATTAAATTTATATAACTTACAATATCCTCGTCCTTTACTCTATTTAGATACATACCATTATTAATCACAAAATGAAGTATAATTTATGATAAGTTATTATAATAAATGAAGACATGGAATCTTCTCACCACACGATTATGACAACTTTTAGATATTAACAAAAATTACCGTAACAATGTTTATTCATTGCAAATTATGTCACATTATGTATTTGTGGTACACTGTATGTCTTATCGAACTAACAGTAAGTATAGCAAAGGTTAATTTTTACCAACGCTAACTCTCTAAGTCAGGCTATCTCTAACTCAAGTCGAGTGCGTCGCTAGAGTAATGATGTCAGAGAAGGGACCTAGCTGACAGTAATAAGTGTAAAATAATCTGTCAATACAATTATTTGTTAACGACGTAAAACGATGCACGGATACAAAATGCCACCTTAAAAAAAAAAAAAAAAAAAAAAAAAAAAAAAATTTTTTATACATAAAAAATCTATGCTCATAATTATAAATTTTAATATGTTGAAGCGCAATTTTGTCTCATGACTTTAATTATAATATTAAATGGTTATCAATTCCTCTCTATTAATTGCAGTCAACCCTTTATAAGTGTACTTTTCTCTGTAAATGTATGTCATTTGATAAAGCTTCTAATGACCATAATAATATTGTATTAGAAGATTCATTATAATGAGTCAATAAGTACACACCCCTATAAGTTCTTTTTTCCAACAACGTACATTTATAAATGGTTGACAATATTACCATTAATAATAATAAATATTGTTTTGAGAAATATTTACGAAAAATAACCACAGCCCACTCAATGAGCCACGCATACTTAAATACGTGAGAACCAAAGTAAGCCACGCGCGCAATTCTAAACCTTTTTGAAAACAAACTTTTCGTGTGATCTTATGCTTACTAAACTATTAGAACCTTCATAAATGGAGGAAAGACAATCACGCAATGCAGGCCGAACTAAGCGTCCTTTGTCTGATACCTTCAAGGAAGAAGACAGAATAATAGCGGGCCTCGTTACTCCAGAGAATGGACAAAATGACGATATAAAAAAAAATCGCAAAAAATACCTCTTTATCGGATGTGGATTGTTTTTAATAATAATAATCATTTGTTGCATGATTTTTTATTTTTTCGTTGAGATGGATGTTGTTACAGAATATGATACTTCTAAGATTCCTTTCCACTATCAATTGAGTCTAAGATATTTATATGCAATTAATAATCGATATGATTATATTATTTCAAGTCTTCCTGATCACGAATTTACTCCAAATATCAATCTTACTACTCGCGATGTTTATCAAAATTCAGAAAATAATCCTACGACAAAATCAAAATCAACTAAGCAAACGGAACTCGGACTTTTAATTTCACGACCATTGAGAATCCTAACGCCCGGTTGTTATGAAGTACAGGAAAATAGATACTTACCAAATAATACAATGTACCGAGTGATAACTGCCACTGCACGTTACACGAATTGGTTTTATACTGTTTGGGACCCACCAATCACTATTCAATTCGTTATTAATCCAAATGAAACAGTATATAATGAAACAAGCTATCAAAACTTGATAACCTGCAAATATCAATTCACATGGACATCTGACTTAAACGGTTACGTCAATCGGCAATGTATGAATGAGACAGAATTTCTGGAGGTATCTTATGTTAATGGATCAAGCCCATTTGGATTCACATTTTATAGTTTGGATGAACTGAGCGTTTATGCATATACTACTGCACCGAATTTGGTTGATCAAGATTTCTTCTTTAAAAGGTATTTATAATTATATATGATATCTTTTGAAATTGATTTAATGGGGTTTCAAATTAATAAATGAGTGGCGCATTTCGAAAATAAGTAGGATTTTTCAATAGTATTTTTACTATGTTGAATTATAAATCGGAAAAATAAAATAAGATTCTCTGATTTTAATTTTGAAACCCCTCAATGATTTAAATTTAAGAATCTAATTATTTTGTTTATTACCATTAAATAAGGAATGTATACATAAACCAAAACGCACCATTTCCAACTCTTATACCCGCTTTTTATACTGCTTATCATGATTATCTTTCATCCTAATGCTACGTATTTTTTTTTTTTTTGTAAAATCGTTGTTTTTGTAGTTAGTCTTATTTCTGAATTGTCGACTAATCTTTCTGTTTGAAGTTTTGGTTGAAATTTTGATATCACCTATAATCATTTCAATTATATATTATCCATTTAAATAAAGAAATGACGTTCACAGGAGGTTGGAGGTTCGGAGACATCTTATATAATTACACCAAAATTATCAAGAACAACTAAGGTCTAAATTTATTTATTCAGCAATGAATTATATAATTAAGAAGATTAAGTTTCGAAGCTTTGATTTTTTCGCTTGTTGCTTGATGCATGTATTATATATTGAATATTAACTTCAATATTAACATTCCGACATTCTTTTAATTTCTTTTTCTTCTAATAATATTATCTTTCAAAATTTAGTTTAATAAAGCTACAAAATTAGGTTAACTAAAAAAAAATATTTAGAGCGTTATCTTCTTTAATGAAAATTCTTTGAAATTTTATTTGCTTAAATTTTAATAATTTTCCGATTATAAGTAAATTTTAGCAAGATTAATGTATTTATATAAAGAATATTACTGACTATAACCAGTGGTAATCATCACCAGGGTGCTTATATCTCAAAAGCGTACTAAGTAAAATGGATCGGGTACTCTAAGTAAAAATGTTCAGAACCCCTGAAAGCCTCATGAAAACATAATTTGGACCTTATATCTAATCTAAATTATATTATATATAAAAAAAAATCTCCTATAACTACACCCTAACCCTAAATATATCCAGGGTGGTGATGATCACTGGTTATTTTAAGTATATTTCTTATATAAATGTCCAAATAAATTTTAACAATTTGTTTTTATTATTCTAACATACCGATTTTATAACCTGTTTATTTTTTATCTAAAATATTATGCATTATGAAGTAACTAATTAATAATATTGTGTATTATTAACCCGTATAATAAACTTATAAATAAATTAATTAATCTGACATTTAGGCCTTCTAAGTTCAAATGACCTTAAAATGACTTTTAAATGACTCAAAAATCATTTCAAATTGCAAATACCCAATCATTCGAAAACATTGGCTTATACTGTATAATAATAATTACTAATTTATTTTATTTTGTTGCATTGTTTGATTTAGAGATTAAGCCGGATAAGGCTTACCCGGGTAACCCGTATAAGCATTCCTTAACCGGGTCATGGTTATTCTACCTGGATGACCCGGATAGGAACAATATATCACGTGATAGGTATGCAACAATATCGTTGGACGAATATCACGAAAAATTCATGTCCCACCAAGAACACGGAATTTATGCGATAAGAAATTGTAAATTATGTATGCAGTATATTAAAATATGCGATTTGCTGATGATTTAAAATTGCGACTTAATGTTTTTTTTACTTAAGCAAAAAAAGAAGAAAAAAAAATGCAAATTTGTCTTGTAAAAAAAAAAAAAAAAAACTGCAATTTTTTATTTATTAATTGCACTCACTAAATAGAAAACTGATCCGTTTATAATTTATTCATTATAGTGTTTGCGAATGTATTAAATGAACTTGAATCTTGTTAATAATGCGAATTAATGTAAAACCACTTCTGGTTTAACGATCTTGAAGGTTGTCTCCAATTAAGTGAAGACCAATTCTTATAATCATAACGGTGGGTTAACCGGTCAATCGGATCAACCAGCTTAACCGGGTCGTTACCCGGGTAAAGGTTTAATAAGCGGATGAGTAAACCCTGAAGTAAATTTTATACCGGGCCTAATCTCTAGTTTGATTTAACATCTTAACAATATTCATGTCTACATAACGATAATTTGGTTTTCAATAGAGTTTGGAACCGGTTTTATTTTTCATCTGTTAAAACCGGGTTTAATCGGTTTAACATATGAAAAATAAAACCGGTTCTAAACTCTAGTTTTCAATAACATCAACCTACTTATAAACATCAAGCTTTGAAATAGTCTTCAGCAATTTTATAATTTTTATTTAATGTTCTAGAAATGCCAATGATTGATCAGTCGGTTATTACTTATCAGTAACTTGTCACTTATATAGATGCAGAAAGATTTATGTCAAAGTTATTCTATTGTAAAAACTTTCGACATGTCTTTACAATAGAACGTAAATCTTTCTGTAAGACAGTTAGAATAAATTCATCGTTATATATTTTATTGTGTATTTATAAAATTAAATATACTAAACTCCATATTACAATCCATAAACTTAAAACCACACTAACTAATCCATCATTTTTCCGATTAAACAAACTATAATCACCTAATCTGTTTGCATCATTTACATCATCAGAAACCTGATAACCTAAAGGTACAAGACCAGTAACAGTTTGAAGAACAATGACAGTACTCGGTGGATAGTAAGTTGTATAGGTTGTTAATTCACCATTACTATCAGTAGTGGTTATAGTCGTCGTATAACCAGGATAAACTTGTACAATTGTTTCTGTGTAGATAGTGGTTGTAAATGCAGTTATTGTATTGGTATCGACGTTGGGAGGTGCAATAGTTTGAGTATGCCTGTCATGATCTTCTGAAGTTATAGTCACTCCAACTTTTTGAGTGGGACTTAAAAGGTATAAATTAGATTTTACAATTTTTTTTAAAATTTGTTCTTGGTTATCATAAATGAAGAGAAAATTTTAAAACATACTCAGTTTGACAGTCTTTCTTATGTGAACAAACATCAACATTTTTTGTGACATGTTTATAAGAGTACAAATCAATTACAGGCGAATTGGAAGGTTGAGGGGCAGGGGGGACATATGATGATTTTGTAGTAAGACCATCATATATTTGCTGTGAATTCGATTTTGATGAGGCCGATAGTTGTAGAGTCGGTTGTTTTGGATTTGATTGTTGTGAAGTCAATGGTTGTGTAGTCTGTTGTAAAATCGAAGGTTGCTGCGAAATTGGTTGTGTAATCGGTTGTGGTGTAGCCGACTGCGGTGTAGCCGATTGTTGTGTAGCCGATTGTTGTGTAGCCGATTGTTGTGTAGCCGATTGCGGCGTAGCCGATTGTGTTGTAAGTTGTGTATTCGATTGCTGTTGTAGAGTTGGAGTTAGTTGTGATTGAGTTTGAATTGATTGTTGTTGAGGTTGAGTTGATTCTGGCTGCGATTGTGGTTGTGATTGCAGTGGAGTTTGCTGTGGTCCTGGAGTTGGTTGTGGAGTTGGTTGTGGAGCTGGTTGTGCAGCTGGTTGCAGAGTTGGTTGTGGAGCTGGTTGCGGAGTTGGTTGTGGAGCTGGTTGCGGAGTTGGTTGCGGAGCTGGTTGTGGAGCTGGTTGCGGAGTTGGTTGCGGAGCTGGTTGTGGAGCTGGTTGTGGAGCTGCTTGTCGAGTTGGTTGTGGAGCTGGTTGTGGAGCTGGTTGCGGAGCTGGTTGTTGTGGAGCTGGTTGTGGAGCTGGTTGCGGAGCTGGTTGTTGTGTTTGTGTAACTAGATTAATT